TTCCAGTTTCTGTATGTCACAAAAGAGCACTTTACTCCAGAATACATTTAGTCAAATACTGGAGAACTAATAATAACACAGTAAAACTGGTGCAGTCCAGAATGAGCTGCTTTTTAAATTACATTCCTTCAACTGTTYTCATTTACACCTGGTTTTGTTAAGGCTTACTTCATTCCAATTGCTAAATAYCTAGGATGGGATTACTCTCTTCTAAAAGTTCACCCTCCCTTTTTAGATCTGGGTCTTGGCATGTTGCCACAATAAATGGCACTCCACAGTAAAATGCATTTTTCTCCACAGCTATCCTCTGAGAAAACAAAGTTCTGTGACTCCTGTTTCGCAAACAGACACTAAAAAGCCAGAGGCTATTCCTCCAGTGCCTTTGAACCCAGGCTCAAGCTTGCTGTCAAGCCCAAACCATTCTCTTTGGGAGGAGATGCRTCCTTTTTTGCTTCTGAGCATGTGTTGTACATCTAATGTGTTCTGGCCTGTTAYGTGTTGCAGGTGTACATTTGCACCAAACCCTGCCACTCTCTCTYCTTAGAGGTCACAAATGCAGCATGGATGGGTAAATTAGACACCAGCTTCTTTTAGGAGACCAAATCTTACATGCAGAAAAACTGTGGAATAGTTTATGCTGGAGAGTGSGTTGCTTTGAGAAGAGCTGGGCTATGATGTACCATAACTACAGGCCACTTAAAATCCTGCTGTACTCTGCCAATTCTGACTACACTTACCTGTATAAATGTGACCTGAAACACTGAGGATTAGGAAAACTAAAAGTGTAGTTCTGGAAAACTCTGAGCAGCCACCTGAACTCTTGGTAACCTGTTTCTGGATAGAAGTGTTCAGAATTGCCCCAAACTGGGCATCTTGGAACTTGTCTCTCCTTTGTTCCCATTTGTGATCTAGGAAGTAGGTGGAGCTGCTCTAAGAGAGGACCTGCTCAGTGGAACCTCTCCAAGCCCAACAAGTCAGGTTCTTCTGTTATAGCCACAGATGGCTTCAGTGCCTGGCAGTATTTGGCAGCATGCTCACCCTCAGTACAGTAACCCAGGGATTAAAGAATTGCCTTTTAGCTCAAAGGCATTTACATCAACACCTCCTAACTCCCAGGAGAGTGTCGCAGGTGCTCAGAAGGATTGCAGAATGGAAGGGAAGCATTCATCACCTCAGCTGTTGAGTTTGTGYCCTATTGGAAAGGATGGCTAATGTGTGGCACACTAGKGTGAGCTAGAAGGAAAGAGTCACAGGGAGCTGTAGGCACTTATTCCTGGTTTCTGATAACTTTTCCCAAGCCTGTTTTTTATCCAGGAACTATTTGCTACAAAAATGCATAAGTAAACTCCAGGACTCCATTTTGATGATTGAACTAGATGAGAGACCTTGTTTTACCATCTCGCCTCAGCTGCTTTGCCCCTGTTTGAGGCTTACATGCTTTTTGGAACAGGGTCACAACTTCAAACGAAAAGGTGGTGACTCCCTGTTTCCTTCCTGCTCTTCCTCCTCCCAGTCTAGCATGGTGGTCAGGGATGAGGCATGAATGCTCCTCAGGAACTCCCACTTCCCGGCCAATGCTCTGACCACTGGGTAGCAGCACAGAGAAGGTGGACACTGTTTCCTCCAGCTGCACTTTAAAAGAAAAGGAACATTGCTTATTGGGAATTTGATATCTGCTGACAGACCAAAAGGCCTTTAAGCACCTTTGGCAGGCTSTCTGTTAACACCGACCTTGGTGTTTTCCAGCAATAACACAAAGAAAAATGCTGTGACCAGCAGCCACATGAAATGAAGTCACAGACCAGAAAAGCTGCAGGGACTCTTTATTCATTGTTTTAAAGAACAGATTTTGGCACTCACTGCCAGAAGAGAACTCCAAATTCTGAGTCCAAAGAAGATAAAGCTGCCAAGCACCAGGGTGGGACTTCACACACATCTGTGTTCATAGAGTTTTCTCACCCCAAACTGAAGGTCTTGTTAGCTCCTCGCTGAGCRTGCTGCTTGTTTTGGATCTATACCTGCATTTCTTTTACATGCAGGGAATGTAAGCCTGTCATTACCACACTCAGCCCCGAGGCTGAAAGGCTCATGTATCCTGGAACATCAGTCCCTTATCAATCCCATCCCTCGGATTTATTAAGGGCACACAGAACAACAGGAAWTTAAGTCAAGAACCTAGAGATTCACTAAACTTCCTTGCATTCAGAAACTGCATAGAATTAATAGGGAGGAAATATCTATTAAAACTTTGTAATAAATTGCAGTTAGTTTTCTATGTGCAACATTGTGCAGSAATTCGTCACATCTTTCTCAGATTTACTTTTYCAGTATCTCCAGAGTCATGAAAGTTTAAATATACAGATTATATGAAACAAGTAATGRCTTTGGCTGTTTAAAGTTTCCCCAGGCAGCTTGGGGCAGAAGTAGTGATAAAACCATTTCTTCATTATACCATACGATATACAAAATATTTGGCATTAATACTTAGGATATTGTGCCTTTCCAGGATGTGCAATGTTCAGGATGTGTTGGAAATGCCGTGAATATTCTGATTCATGTGAATGGATGATATTATTTTAAATTATTCTTCCACAAAATAGGTCTCCAAAATAAGACTGAGGATTCGCCTAACTCAGATCTGCTTGCAATTTTTCTGCATATTTAAAGACAACTATTCCTGACAAATTACGTTTTTGGGAACAATTTCTTGTCTGGAGTGAAACTTATCTTTTCCTCATTAACATCTTTTTTTCTTTTTTCCTCAATCTGGTTCTTAGGCTGCCTGATGTACAAATGCAGAATGGAGTTTTTGTTCCCTGCCAGGTGCCTAGGTGTTGGTAGCACAGAAATACATGAAAAAATGTAGGTGTGGTAGTTGGTAAAAAGAGACAAATCCTCTGAATAATTACCCTCTTTGTGTTTCTCTGCTCATCCATGTCAAGCTTTTATGGTTATCTGTCTAAAAATCTACCTCCTTCTCCATCTTCAGGCTAGCTTAAAAGATGTTGGATGAAGAGACTGACACTTTCCCTGAGAAAGTATTGGTAAAAACAGAAGTTTACTTTAAAAGTAAATTCCAAGGCACYGGTGGGGACACAATCTGTGTGTTTCATCTGCCTGGAGGGCAAGTTGCAACGTTCAAAACCATCTTTCAATGATACATGAAATATTTGAGACATAAAAGGTGAAAATTATCRTGCAGTAAGTGTTTACTGTGAATGAGTCAACACTTGCAATAATCAACCCCTATGTTGTTACATATCTTCACTAGGATTGTCATTTCAACCCACCCTTTTATTTGCCCTACCCTATTCTAATATKCCTATTCCTCTTTGCATTTGCCTTTCTAATGTCTGTTTATTCTGCCTGTGCACAGATACGCAGTCTTTTGTACTGGAGTAGGTTGCCCTTTAAAACCTTCCCCTTCCACAACAGCAAAGCCTTCCTTTTTTTTTTTTTTTTTTTTTTTTTTTTGTCAGGGGTCTAATGTCGAAGCCAGTAATTTCTTCCTGCCTTCCAATCTATCAGGACGCACTAAGCTACACAAACTACGTCTTGAAGACAGTGTGATGGCATCAGCAGGAAATAACAGTGGACAGAAAAAGTAGCTTTTTACATTCTTCATGTAGAGTACTGAGAAGAGCACCTTAAATTTCCGCATCAGTCATTGTACTAAGAGCGAGCAGCATCTGTTGGAACTGGATGTTAGGCATAAAGGGAAGAAACTTGATAGCTATTCTTGTTTGARGCAGGGGAAATCCTAACTTTTTATGCTGGAAGAGGGAGTGTAAGAAAAAGAATACTAAATGGCAAAGGTCAAGGAACAAAGCCATAAGATCATGTAAATACCTTAGCCATGGGTGAAGTGAGGAAGTATATTAGTGACCATTAATCGTATTTGGGTTTTGTTTGATGCTTGTTACAAAAAGTTTATGTTTAATTCCTTTGGACTGATTAAAGACATATAATTATTTCATAGCACTATATTCCTGGCTAGATGCTTTCATGCTAAAATAGCAATTATTACTAGATAGGAATTTGCAGTCTTGTTCCTTTAAATGCTAGGCTCAGTTATCGTCTGCACGTACAGGTTAAAGCCGTTTACACCAACTTGATTCCCCCACAAAGTGTTGATTATGAATGTATCATGTACTTTTGGATAAAGACCCAACTGAGTGAGGAATTTGGTCTGCTCTATTCATCGAGGCAAACAGCAAAACTCTAATAACATTATGACTCAAGTTTGCATACTTGATAYGCTGCCAGGTTAGAATCTATTCCTAAAAAAATTGTTAAAAATTCTTCGATTTTTTTCTCCACCATATTGTTTCTTTGCCTAGTTCACAAAATACTCGTGTAGCTCATTCCATTTTCTTTGTTCCTCTTTTTTTTATTCATTTATCTCTAGCAAACAGGAACTAGAGCAATATCAGTATGAATGCTTAGAAGTGAAATGCTGACATAGTGAAAAGTCTTAGGAGTTTTGGGGATTTGTTGGGTTGTTTGTGTTTTTTGGGGTTTTCTTCATTAAAATGCCAGGTTTTATCCTACTTGACAGTACATAYAGTGTCATGAGAAAAGAGAGAATGCCATTTCTTTTCCTTCGAAGAATGAAAAATAATCATTKTATGAAAGTTCTGCATAAGACTTGATATTCAGGAATAGATAGGCTTTGCTACAGTAGTATCAAAGAAGAAACTGGGAACTTAGCCTTTATGTATCCAGTTCTGACATTGCCAGCATGTATCTCACAGTTTGTACAACAAACTGCCTCCCGTGGATTTGTCTGTGCCAGTTTTTCAAAACACTCCCAGATTCCTTAATTTCTCTAAGAAATTTTTGCCATTTGCTCTAAACTTTTTTGAAGTGGAACTTGGCAAAACTTTAAAAAAAGTTGAAATGCTTTATTGATTCAGTTTCACTTCCTATTAGTTTTGCAGCTGCCACCATTTCATGTCTAACCCACTTAGATTAGAGGAGACACGGGAGTATCAGTTACTTAGACATGTCTTGAGCGATGTCGTGTGTTTCAGGCTGATTAAAGTGGTTGTGTCAGGATGCTAGAGGCTGGATGTTCCCGAAACAACAATGCAGTTTTGCCTACAACATTTTTTATTTCTTTTTCTGGAAGGGCTGTTCTTTGTCTATTGGGAATAAAGCTGAGTGTTACAGCATAGCTAGTACAGCTGACCAAGCTTTTTTGCCGGTTCTCGAAGGAAAGTGAAAGGGGGRAAAAAATAGACCAATTTGGATTGTGTCACAAAAACGGCCTCTCGCATAACCTTTTGCCAGCAAGGCTTGGCTCAAGCAGACAAGGCAGCAGCCARAATTTTCAGAGCTTCTTGGTAGCTGTGGTGGGGCAGTTCTTTAAAACTTGTCCTACGACATATAAACACTGAATCAGTCCTTGGTACATCTGAGACTTTGTTTTCAGTTATCAARAAAACCACTATAAATTGTGCATGCCCGGTCGGTCAGGCCAGAAGATAGATATCTTTGTATGTATTTCTGAAAAGTGCTTTGATCTGATTTTTCTTTTTTTCCTTTGAAGGTGTTCTCACAACACTTCTTTCTTTGGTAAAAGGCTGCCCTCACAGCGATTTGAAAGAACCAGTGTCCCCATGAGATAGCAAACATCAAAGAATTTAGTAGAAGCATTCCTTACGTTATCACATTATATGTTTAATATATATCTTTTGGGAGACTTTTAAGCCAGCATGATTCCCTAGATCTGTTATAGTTTACATGTGGAAAAAGCTTTTCCATATGCTGCTTTACATGAGAAATATGTACATGTGGCAAAATGTTTCTGGACTTTTCACTTCAGGAGACATTTTTTTAAAACTTTATAATGATGTGGCTTGCATYTGAGAGGAGGAACAGAAAGGAGATGAGGAGTATGATGAAGTTATAACTGGTCTTTCTGTAATGCTTGGGATTTCAGTTGTGTTYAGTAACTGTCCACTGTTGGTATGCTTACTTGGGTCAGACAGCAGTAACTAAAATGTCAAATGATTTTTACAGCAACCCAGTCCAGTACTCTGACATTTAATGTAGGCCACATTCAGCAAAAGTAAATAGAAATGGTACAAAGTTAAATTGTATTAGTACTTACAYGTCTGTGATGAAATGGGAAATTCTCTGTTTGTCTTAAGGTACCAAACTCCAGCTTGATTGCTCTCTTCTGAGGCATGAAAGTCACATGTATGGGGATGGAACTGATGGTGGAAATGCTCCCCAGCATATCCTGGGCAAATGCATTCAGCCTGCATGTGATGGTGACACAAGAGACAGAAGTGGTCTCTTCCACTGAAGGGACCAGCTCAGCTCGTGCTCACAGGCCAGGGATGAGCACTCCAGCTGCAGCAAGGTAGGAGATAGGCAGAGTATTTACATTAATGCAGTGCTGCCACAGAGGTAATGTGCTATGCCTGGCATCATGCACCATGCACAGGGTTGCAGACRTGTGGTGCAGAACTCCATGAGCCTCCTAGCTCAGACCTGGAGACAAACATAGCTGGCTTGCTCAGAATATTCTGAGTTGGAAGGGACTCATGGCAAGYCCATGGGCATAACTAAGTTATCCCATGCTTGATGCAGCCAGTGTTGGAACCAGTTACTTTGTGTTTTTCTGGGTAAAATTACACCAGGTATCTGAGCATCATCACTGCATTCACCAACACAGGCTGGGCCATTTCTGGTTAAAAAACCCAAAGGGCCAGTTCTGTCTCCAGATGACCTGCCTGACACAAATGCTTCACCCTGCTYACTGCAGCAGTGCAGGCTGCTGGGGTGGGAGTGAAGCATTTCTTCCTTCTTCTCTTCCCCTCTGGATGTAACTGGGGTATTTTGTCAGCCGTTGTTTAATATGCATACTTCTCCTTTGGCTCTTGCCCAAACTCGAAGGAGTGCACTGCTTTCCTCAACCAAGGGCTTGTCTAAACAACGGTATTCTGGCTGCTTTAACAAGTGTTGTTCAAGTGCTAAATCCCCCTAAGCCTTGTGGAGTTACATTAGTACAAACGTTGCTGTTTGGGAAGCAGTATCTGCTTTAAAGCACCTCTCTGGGGCTGTGTACCAGGTGTCCATGGCAGCAGCAGCATGGAATAAGAGAGTGGTTTAAACTTGCTGTATAAGACTTTTTAAAAAGCAAACCCTGGTTGTGGTGATTTTATAGAAGCTTAAATACTTACGGGAGAAAGCATTGATGGTAGGACAGTTGACGTTCAAACATACGTCAAGCTATTTAATTATTTCCTGATATGTTTTTTGTTGGGGCTGGAAGGGGCCAGGATGTTTAGTGATGTCTTCTGGTGYAGAGCAACCTGGTCCTTTTCCTGGCACGCATCTCCTTGCCTGAGGTCTGCAGTGTTGTGGACATTCCTCCTGTGCAGTATGGTTGCTATAAACTGTGCTCACCTGCTAAGTCTACACTAGAGCACCTCTAGCAGAGTAATTATGCTGACAGAGCCTCAAAGCACTATAGTAACCATTTCCCTCAGCTACTTCACACAGCCTCTGTATCTGAGGAAGCTGTGGTAAAGCAAGGCGCCTGTAACTGTGTCTGCAGCAGAGTTTCTGCAAACACAGGTGTCTCGGTTCTGTGGTGTTTTCTTTCACAACTTTGCTGAGCCTGTGMTCTTAGGAGCAGCTTGGGGAGCTCCCCCATCCAGCTGCAGGGTGTGTATTACCCTCTGCTGTGCTAGCAAAGTTGTGGGGTTTTGTGCTGAAGCCCACACTGGATTAGCTGGATCACCACGACCATACAGGTGAGCTGGCCTCTTCTCTTTCACTTCCCTTTGGTTTCACTTGCAGAACTAAAGGGTTTTTTTTTTTCCTTTCTGCCAAATAGGTGTCCCCTCACCTTCATAGTACTGAAGTTGTCCACAAACTCACAAATCTTCTGCTGCTTTACTCCCTTTATTCCTTATTTGCTTCGGATCACTGCCCTCCTTACAACTGTCCACAGACTCATCTCCTTGGAAACAGCAAAACTTGTTTATGTGAAAGCAATAAGGAAAATAATTGATGTGTGGCTGTGCAGGCATGCGGGGGAGCCATGTTCCACTGGAGAATGTTGGAAAAGCAAGTCTGCTCTTACCCTGGCTGCCAGAAGGTTGGTTGGTGTGAGCGGAAGCCACCTCCTTCCTTTGCTGTGTCCAAAGGTGCCTTCCTTTATTCACAACAGCGGTAGGAGACTTTTTGCATGTCTCTCTTCATTTTTATGGACTTATTTTGCTAGTCTTTTTCATCACCAATGTACAGGGGTTGAGTAGCAGCAGGAAAATTGTTAAATCTTACTTATCTCTTATTTTGTGGAACTCTGTGCTGATGCACTGTGCCATGCCAGGACCATCTCCTCTCCTGTCTTGGCCCTGACCACCCCTGTGGCCACAGGACTTTCCCATCCATATTTTGAGATTTCTGCTGCTCCCTGCTTTGTGCCTTTCACTGCCACTGCCCTTGTGCTATTGGACGTGGCTGATAGACCTGGTCAGCTGTTAAGGTCAGGTGTCCCTGGATGGGCTTTCCCAGTCCTTCAGGACCAGAGCTATGGAGGCCTAGAAACAACTTTTTGGGCCATAAATGTGACAGGGTCACCAGKTGGGACCTCTTGCCAGAGATGGTATGGTGCCTGGGTGGCTGCTGCTGCCAACACTGCATCGAGAGCTTGTGGCCTGGCCTTGGGAGAAATCTTTAGAAAAGACCTGTGGCATGAGGGCAGCCTAGAYAGACCCCTTCTTTGGGACCAGGGGAGCTGCTCTGAATGTGTGATCTGCCTTGGGGGTGTTAGCACATAAAGGTTTGGGAGGCCCCAAGTCAAGCAAGCCCTGGCAAAGATATGCTCACATTGATGTCTCTGTGATGACAACTTGGAGGAAGGAGGGATTTCTGCTTGCCCTCAGTTTAGTGCATATCTTGAAGAGGCAATGTGGGTGGAAGATGATGTTTTTGTTTGTTTTATTGTGGTCTTTGAAACAGGGCTGTAAGAGCTGCTCCTGGAAACTTTTTTCTGTTATTGAAAACTTTTTTCCCCACCCATCCAGAATGAATGGCTTTTCCTGAGGTGTACTTCATCAGCAGGATCCAGTCTTGGTCTTTTTCTTTCTCCTGTTATTAGATACCTCCTTTGGGTGATTTTCTTGGGGACTAGCATCTGTAGATCGTTTTACCCAAGCGGGAAGACTGTTCCAGATGCATGCCTTGTGTTTTAAACATGTGATAGCATGACTGTTATATCATTGAATGTTCAAATAAGCTGTTTTTCTATTCRCTGAAGCTGTATAGACTCTTCATTTCTTATACTGTATCAAGTGAAATGCTTGATACTACTTTGCTAGGTAGCTCCGGGATGGTTTCAAGCTTGCTTTAACTTCCTAGAGGTTGTGTTAGCCCGAAGCACTTTCTGCAYGTTTCCCTGCCCATGTCTTGAGTATCAAGAAAAATTTCTATTTCACAGGGTGTGAACTATCTTTAAATGTGCTTCTCATCAAATAAAGAATGTGAAGGGGTGGGACAGAAAGGGAGTGAAGAAATAGGACTTAATACACTTGCCTAATAATGGGGATAATGCTGGGGGTATTGCATATTAAATATCCTCCTGTTATCTCAACACGAAACATAAACATAGAGAACTATGTCTTTATTRTGTAATAATGGTACATTATTTACCATATGTAATTTGGTTTAATAACTAAAAAGATGGGGAGAAGAACACTAAGGAGCCTGCAAATGGAAACAAGCTGTAAAACTTGGAATGCTTGCTCTGCAGGGAGCACTTAGAGTCAAGACATGGAAGTCTGTAAAATAGTTAGCAGAAAATGCTGTTAATACTTGAGTTTTAAAAGGACAAAAACAAACATGAGTTATTAGAAAGCACCTAGAAAAATCTTGRAAAATTTTGGTTGGTCAAAGGAAGATATGTTTAGTGTTATGAAAGGCATCGTTTTGGAGTTGCATTAAAAGACAGGATTCTTCTGGTGGGATGTGGGTATTATTATTATTGTTGATGTTGTTGTTACTGATGTTGTTATTGTTTTTATTATTATAATAATTATTATTATTGTTACTGTTATTATTATTATTATTTTGGTGCACATGTTCTGTTTTGATATAAACAGAGCCAGGGACAGCCCAGTGGCATACTTTTGAAAAAGAGTTTGTGAAAGAAGTAGTAGCATTAAATAGCTCTCTTTCTACAGGCTATGGATTCTGAATCTAAGAACAGTTTCATAGGAAGCTTTCTTCAGCCACCAGCTCGGATGCTTCCTGCAGCCTTTGTTTATATAGAATCAAAGAAGTTGGCAGCTGCTKCTGGTGACAGGCCTTCTATCCCAAATAACCAAGGTATAGCCAAAATATGTCCTTAAAGTGGTCTTTTTAATTGTTCCATGTGAAATCTCTTGAGCAAACTCCCCATCCTATTTTACTGAGTTCAATGACTTTTTGCAGTTATCATACTGACATTGAGACAGGATGTATATGTGTCCTGAGGGAGTACTCTCCCTGAAGTCATATGTCTAGAATGGAAACCTCTGCAAGTCTTCTAACATCCTTGTAAACTTWGGCTTTGAAATTTGTTTAACTTAAAATCGTCAGACTTCCTCTGAAAGCAAAGGAGAATGCTTCAAACTGAGTAGAAGCAGTTCATGACTTCAAATACAGTAAAAAAATATCGTTATTATGGTACACTGACTTCAAATTGGCTTTGCATTGTGCTATTTGACTCCTTCCCGCTTAAAAGCACTTCTAAAGATTTTTTGTGTGGTGTGTTTCCTTGAGAGAATTTGAACAATTCAGACTCTTGGGAAAGTCAATCCCTATGAAATATGGTTGTCATGTGCCCTAATGGGTGACTACTCTCTGGAGTTCACAAGGTAAATGCTCAGGGGATTAGCATGTCTGGAGAGCTTGGAGAATGATAAGGATACCCATACTCAGACTTACTGTCATGGACAACCTTGCAGCATTGCACAGACATAGCCTATGAATGTGCATGTGATCATTGTTCTTCACCTGAGAAAATTGTGACTTCTGTAGTAACCTTATGTCATATAGAGTTTGGGCTTTTTTGGATTATAATGTTCAGTTTAGAGTGATGTAGCAAAGTGTTTAAAGAAAACATTGGTTTGGCATACCAATGGAAAGATGAAATGGTCCCACTTTATCTTTCTGCTTTCTGCTATTTGCTTTTTGTTTGGTTTTTACTGTTGTGTGGTTTTGTTTGGTTTGGGGTTTTATGGGGTTTTTTTGTTTTGTTTTTTTTAATTGGGGCTATGGTAAGCTGTTGAAAGTTGTTAAGGAGTAGCAACATTTGATGGGTATTATTTTGATGAGAGGGTTTGGAATAGAGAAGCTATTAATTATAAAACGTCAGAAAATAAGCTTGACTTGCYACTGAACATGTCTTAAGCTTCCACAGGTGTGTATACTTCTTGAGGAGCTAGCAGAWTTTTTCTTGTAGCTGAAATTGCAGCTTTTCTTTTTGGTGTAGTTTTGACACACACTGATTTGAGGCTGAAAGCAAAAGCTTCCTGATTTGTTTCTATGGTTTAAAGAATCATCAAATACCAGATACTAGATGCTGAATCATTACCTTTTGAAACAATGAAGTATTTAAAAATGTATGCTTTGCTTAATTGTCCTTTTGTATGTGATTTCTCCCTCTGTTCTGGGCATGTTTTTTTTCTTTAACCTGTCCAGACCCATTGATTACATCAAAATATGTGACCTTGCTGGGATATCTGTGTTCCCTGCTTCTATGTGAAGAGAAGCCCCAGGGTTTATTATTTGCCATGATTTCTTTGTGCTTGCTGCCATTTGGAGTGGAAATAGTTTCACTCATGGGGCTGGAGCTTGATGCCTCAGTCATGCAGGAAACACATCCATTTTCTCCCATATATGTTCTGCATATGTTAGTGTACAGCTGAGGAGTAGAATTAATTTTGGGAACGATCCTAGGAAGAAAATTTAAGTAGATATTGCAATGTGAAGTGCTTTCTAATAATCATAACCGTCATCAGAATAGGAACTGTAACTTACGTTGTAGCTGTTACGTTGTTTGCTAGCTGTAGTGGAAGCCCTGAAAACTCTGCAAGAAAAGATCCACCGCCTAGAGCTGGAGAAGTCAGAGGCTGAAGATCATTTGTGCAGCCTTTCCAGAGCAGCTGCTCAGTACAAGAAGGTCTTAGAGCACGAATCCTTTGAGAAGGATGCAGCACATCAAGAACTGATGCAACAGAGGAAAGGTATTTCTTTTAAGTGATAAGGTGTAGCCACAGCAGTACTAAGACTGTATAATCCAGGGAGTGTTTTGTTTTGAAAAACTGCTAATTAATACATCCCCCTTTCATTTTTTGCTTCAGAACTTAGGAGGGACAGGAATTTGATAATTGTGGGTCAAGTTGAGATATTTTTTACATTTATCAACCWAGTGTTGCATAAGTCAAAGCAATTTGAAAGACTGAGCATGTTTCAGGTGGTATGTTTAACTCCTACAATAAGCAAGCAGCTGCTTACATAACACTGCTAACTTGAAAAAAGATAGGAGAAGAGAAGAAACCAGATTCTGGTTAGRTTCTGTTGATACAAATCAAAGTAACTGCAGTACTTATGCCTTTGGAATTCAAATTAGGGACTAGCTTTGAAAAAGCATTTTGATTCTCATGTCTTATATATAAAATACATTTTAACCACATGACTTGTTCAGACTAACAAAACTATTCTTGCCTGTTTTGAAGATAGAGAATTCCTCAATGAAATGACAGTCTGGCTAAATGTGTAGCTCCCTTTGCTGTACTGAATGTCTTGTTTCTCCCTGTAGATGCAAGTGTGCAGTTAGATGCAGCACAATCCCGCTGCTCCCTGCTGGAGAAACAGCTGGATTACATGAGAAAAAYGGTTTCCAGGGCAGAACGGGAAAAGAAAATGATTTTAGAAAAACAGGTGAAGCCCTTTAGTATACTAAGAAAGTAGTGATGTAGTTCAAAAGTATAGAAATGTAAGGATAAGAAGTTTTTTATGGCCATTGTTTTTCCTCAGCTCTGCTCAGGCTGCTAGCAAACAGAAGCAATTTATTGTCTGACTGGCTGATGACAACCATTCAATGAATTGTATGAAAAGCTCCCTGGGTGGAACTCCTAATGAGCAAAACCATGCTAATACTTGCACATTTGGTAGACAAAAAAGCTGCTGGAAGCTTAAGTTGTCTTTGTCTGCCTGGTATTTTTCATCACTTTGCAATTTAAAAAATATGGAATTTAAACTAATTAAACACCTTTACTGTGGTGTGGGATGGTTTGGGGATTTTTTTGCTGTCTGAAACAGTTTAAATCAGTTGCCAACTCTGTTCTTGGTTATTTTTTCCAGGTCCAGCTTCAGAAGGAGGAAGATCAGAACTGGTTGGAACTGCATGCAAAACTTGAAAAGCTTGAAACGCTAGAAAAAGAGTGTCTTAAACTTACAGCTAATCAGAGAATTACTGAAGTAAGCATGCATGGAATGACAGTCTGAAAGTCATTTGTTATCATGTTGTGGCATACTATTAATAGTGCTCAGTTTTGCAAAAGTTACCTCTGTTAAAGCATACCTGACTGAAAGCCACCTTGGCTTCATGTGCATGAGTCTCTTTTCAGTCTGGGCTTTAAAAATTCCTGCAGTCCAGCTTTATCCCCACGTTACAATTGTGAGTTCCTTCAGACTTCTGATTCAGCATGACAAATTGAAGTGTGACTAATCATTCCTGCCTTCAAATTCAGGACAAGATCAAACACTTAGAAGMAAAACTTTGTGAAGAAGAGCATCAGCATGAACTAATACAAGATAAAACTGCTCAGGTAGATGGAAAATGTTTTATCATATTTTTAGCACTCAAGAAAGCTATTCTCTCTGTTCAAAATACCCTTCTTTTTTATTACATTTTAACTCCACATGTTTTTAACCAGGCAGAAATCCTGGAATACTACCTAGACTTGTTATAAGCTATGTMTTAGAAAGTTCACCAGTTGTGTTGCATATCCCAGTGAAGAAAGATTCTTTTTTAGTTTGTATTAGTGATACAGTTCATCAGCCTCAGTATTGCTCTAAATGACCCAGATAGAAAATTAATTTYTAGAAAATCTGTAACTAAATCAGATACATTTAATTTACAGTAACTAGAAAGCGGTTGCATATGAAACCTTATATCCCAAGAGAGGTTGGTTATTGTTTGTTTTTCTCCCTTTGTTAAGATCTCTGGAAATCTAATACATGTGGCTAAACTTGAAAAACCTTAAATCAGTGATACATTGTTCATCAAATGAGATCTTGTATAATTCATTATTCTGTGAAACCATGATCAGCTTGTTGGGCTACCATCCGAGAGAGGAGAATTTGCCAAAGAGAGCAAAATCAAAGAAACCTTTTGTTAAAGGGGCAAAGTAGTCATGTTCCAAATCTCACTTTGTACATAAATAGCAGCCAGTTTGAAAGAGAGACCAGTTGTGGAGGAATTCCTTTGGGGTGGCATGGGGGATGCAATGCCAAAGAGTAATATTGGAAGAACCTAAGCAAAGCTGATGCCTTAATTTGATTCATCACTGCTGGCAGCTTTTATACCTCATCCAAGGGTGATGTGTTTTCATCAGTCCAGGAAGCTTTAAATAACACACAGATTTTTAGCCCAGATATCTGACCACTTCCAGAATCYAGCAGAATGACACAGTTGAAAACTGCAGGTTTTTTGGTTTCTTGCTTAGACTGCTTGCTGCTGCAGAGCAAAAGGCCTAGTACAGAGATTTTATCTTCTAGAAACATGCTAAGAATTACTTTCCCAGAGCAGACAGTCTAAACATTCACTCAAAAAAGGACTTAGATGCAGTAAACTGAGTCCTAAACTAGTATTAGTACCACCTTAGTAGACTGCAGGATGGATTTAGGTCTGTTGGATCTGGGCTGGGAAGCACAGGGTGTGGTGTAGTTCACTTCCTTTTGATGACAGAAAAGCCAGAACATTCTCACTTTAGTGGTGGACCTCCAGCTTTGTTCAGCCGGAACTGTAACATGCCAAAACAAAGTCCTTGTCCTACATTTAATTGGGAATGATTATCATCCTGTTTATCATGGACCTTGATATCAACTTTGAACCACTGTGCAATCTGAGGATCATCCAGCAGGTTTGACCTTAGTGTTAYACAGACAGGCTTAGTTCTCTCTGTCCCCAGATTGTAATAGCCAAATGTTCATATAATTTGGATTTTACGATCAGATCCTCAGCATGTGGCAGGATTGGCTTATCTCAGTTGCTGGTTGTCACAGTGGAAAAATACAGCTGCYGCTGCAGTTGAATATGAAAATGAGGAATATTAAGACAAAGCTCCAAGATCTCCCTGATRCCCTGCCTTCCTAGTAGTATGTTCAGTTTCTAGGAGTAGCTTAYGCCTTCCAAGGAGGACAGTAAATAGTGCCCTTAATTGGTTTGTATCCATGCATGAAAGAGAGAGAATTAATTAAACATTGCTATTTCATATTTCTAATATTACATTAAATGGCTGTTTTCTTTTTCCCTTATTGCCACAGCTTCTAACAGGATTTGATATAAATAGAATTTTGATGTCTTCAGTAATATCTCAGTGTGAACCTGAAAAGGAAAATGGGAAGAACAAAAARCCTAAGAAGGTAACATGGAAATTTTTATTAACATACTGCTGATAGCATCTGACTCACGCAGAGACTGGAGTTTGTGAAAAATGGTGATGTAAGAGGCACTTGATTCATCTGCTGCACTTTACTCCACTTCCAAAGTGACAAACAGTACCAAATAACTCTTTTTTTTTTTTTTTTTTTTTTTTTTTTTTTTTTTTTTTTTTTTTTTTTTTTTTTTTTTTTTTTTTTTTTTTTCTTATTATCTCTTTAGTTTTTTTTGGTTTTTTTTGTTTTCTTTCCTTTAGTAATTAAAATGGTACTAGGGCTGCTATGATGTCACTGGAAAACCTTCCTTTATGAACTTGGCAATTACCTCTGTTGAAGTCTTACTGGMATCCCCATGTCGTGTCTTAGCTGCCTTTTAGTTTATTTGGCAAAATTAGTTTCCCAAGGAGTTTTAGCTCAGCATCTTAAGATGGTGTGTTTTGGGGSGAATTGCTGAAATCGAGAGAATTCATTTTGCAACACATTACAGATCAGTCAAAATTTTGTAACTGTGGTTTTGAAAACTTTAGTAAACAAGGTTCATTTTTTTATGTGTGCCTRATTGTCAAACTATCTCCTATATGCACATGGAATAAAATTTACTTGTGTCAGCTWTTGGAAAGTCTTGTTTGTTACACATACAGGAGGGATTTTTCTTTTTAACCTAAAGAAAACTGAGATGATGCATTTCACTGTGTATTTACTTAAATTTTACTTACTAAAAAAATGTTTAAGATTGTACTCTTGGGTAAACAGATTGGAATTTCTTGTCATATATTTTCTTATGGCAGGGAAATGGTACGATGAAGAAAATGCACATTTCACGATTACATGTAAAGGCTGGTGAACTACCTTTTGTGGCTGGGAAGGTAGGTGAAAACCAATGTTCTCACTAAAATGGTATCTACAGTTTGAGTAAGGCTCTTCAGTTGTTAATTACTTCTGTAAARCCACTAATAGTTCTTCTTTAAGTCTGTCAGCTCCAGCCATTCTGTCAGTGCAAACGTACAAAGTGTGTTGCATATTATGAAGCATCGCAATCCGTGTATCTCATCACGAAAACAAAGAGGATCTGCGTCTGGGATTTCAGGACACAGTGCTCTTTCAAAATCTGTATCCTCTTGTTTCACATCACCTACTGCCACAAAGAACCCTTCAGACCTTCTGTTGGCTATACAGAATGAGCTGGGTCAAATGAGCTCGTGAGTACCCATCCCTGGTGTTGTGGGTAAATGTGACTTCAACAGTAGCCCTGAGAAGCTACAGGGGTTCTGTAGTCCAGCCTAGCCTGTTTTAGCTGTAGGAGTCCTTGTTGACACAATGACCTGAGCAGGCTTGACTGGTAGGATTTTTCTCATTCAAAAAATTCTTTCTATCCTGGTGTTTCACTGATCTTGTTTTTCTGCTTCCACATCCTGTATTTAAACAAGCTGCTACTGAAATAACAGCTGCAGCAAATGAAAAGCCTTTCAGACCTGTGCTTTTTAGAGATTTTAAACATATTCTGAGATATACAGAATAAACCAAAAATGTTTTCCTGGAGAATGCTGCACTGGTGGTGCAAATGTTAAGTAGACCTGWGGGATGCAGTCAGTCTGGGTGGTGGAATGGGTTAGTACAGCTCTGGCATGAATAGTCCTGTCAGAACATCTATCCTGTTCCTTTGTACTCACTCTGTGCTCTGTTCTTCCCTGTGTACCTGCTGTATCTTTCTGCTGAGTCAGTCTGGTGCTCATACCCTTCGTTTGTTGATAGCAGGAGAACCTGCTGGTCCTGTAAGGGGGTTGTGAAAGAGGGACAGTCTCCTGCCAGAAAATGGGCAGGGTGTGGAAGAAGCTAACACTTTAGATGGGAGTGTAWATATCTTTCTATCCATGCAAGTAAATGTGGATTACAACCTGTTATGTTCTTAGGCATCTTCCCATTAATGCAGGCTTGTGGGACTGTGGGCCAAAGCTCTGCAGCTGGTCATAGCAGACATGCTGACACGATGAGCTGTGGTTTGAACAGAGCAGGATGTGTTGATTAAAYYAGTTAGGATGTTGACATTGATTTGRAATCCTTGATGTGGCAAAATTTAAAGTGGCAAGCAATCTTGTGTTGACAAAGCAGTGTCTGGCTTGCTCATGGCAGTCCAAGGATAGGCTTTTTTTTCTTATAACAACCAGTTGCTTCAATTAAATTGTCAAGGAGTAGCAGTTACTCAGAAGTCAGAAAAGAAGCTCTCACCTTTGTAAAGGGATTACCTATCTAAGAGAGGGTCTCTGGTTTCAACTAATTCAGGTATCTAGGTATCAAGCCCTATACATTTTTTTTTTTTTACTTAATCTGGTTAGCTTAATTAAGCAGCCCACTTTACTGTAAATCTTTTTGAACAGAATATTTTAATTTGAATAATTTGTCAGAAAAATTGGAAGTTGAACACTAGTTTAAAAAATACATTTGTGTGYTACCCTAAGCTTTCAAAGTCAGTGCTAAATTGGGCAGGGAGTGAAAATGGTGTATTGCATAGCTGCTGTTCACTTTCAAAAATCTCATTTTTGAAACACTATTACACATGTAGTTGTTAGGCCTGTGGGAAGAGGGAGAAGACGGACATCAGCTACAAATTTGGAACAAGACAATCAGACTCACATGAACACCTTTATCTTTTCTCATGTTAATATATTCCAGATTAATGTGTATTGAGTGAGAGGGTAAATAATGGTAAATCATTGTACTCTGCAGGAAATGGCTAGCAACTCCTGCAGGGAGAAGTCCTAGAGACTATACCATGAACACTTACATTGCCATTCTTGTCTTTAACAGTGAGCTTCAAGAGCTTCTGAAGCAGATACAGGAAACTCAAGACTCCCAAAYTCRTGAAGACCTGGAGCAGGAGGTGGATTACCTTGTAAAACAAATGGAGATGAAAGGAAAACAGATATCCAAGCTGAAAAAGCATCAGGCTACTGTAAGAATGAAATGTGAAGTCTCTAGCTAGTAACATTCCGGTTGAAAGGCTGCCACAACTCTGCCTCCTGTTGTCATCAGCTAGAATGTCACTGGAATGTTTTAAGCCAAGATGTTCCAGTATGGCTGATTATAATTAGACTGCTGGCTCATATTTTTTGCTTCCAATKCCTTCATTTGATCAAGAAGAAGTCTTACAACTGGCAGTTAGGAATGTATGCTGGTGGGAAAGCTTCCTGCCCTTTGGCAGTTCTGCAACACAGAGCTGGGTTGCTCCGTCTGTCACTTCTGCTCACCGTGTCAAGACAAACTGTTGAAATTCCATTCCTTTGTATCCTGTCCCTCAGGGGAATGCAAAAATAGAAGCTGTAATTCCTGTACAGACTGGATTAAATGTCTTTAATATTACTGAAACATTGAAGCTTTTTATTAAGTAGTMTTTTGACCAGAGCTTCTCCAAAATCATAGCTGGACAAGCCTTTCAGTTTTGTTTAACCCTTAAACTGTCCTCATTCTGTCAGCATTTAGTTTAGAGCCATAGAAAACAACTTTAAATACATGCCCATATGGGGATTTCTGATGGATTTGACTCACTCAAAACTTTTATTGYCCATGTAATTGCAAGCAAAGAGGTGCTTTATGTCAAAGCAGATGAGTCACTTGCACATTAGCAATATGGACAAAGGGCATAGACTGCAAGGTCCTTGCTGCCTCTCTTGGCAATGTCAACTGTTTTTTTAGATAAAATTCTTATATTCTCGGAGAGCCAACWATCATGGTGTAACTCCTTGCCTCAAAATCTTGCTGACTTCATCCTCAGAAATGTAAGACAATGGATAACAAGTGCAGCTTTGTTTCTTTCTTTTGCATATCTTTTTGCCTTTGTTTTGAATGATGRGGAGTAGCAATGTGGTGCAACCTTGTTGTCATCCTTGCCTCTTATCAGTGTGCAGATCTGGCAAGTCCTCTGCTCTGGTACAGCCTGGTCAGAGCACACCCCTTAGGGTCATGCTGTAAATACTAGTGTCTGGATGATTACTGTCCATCATGCCCTGGTTATCAATACAGGTCATTCCTGTAACTCCTTGGCCTATATTGTTTTGTTTTTCCTGGCGCTTTTGCACATTTGTATTTGTATTGTGTACAGATCAATCTTAATATTTCTGATGCATGTTTCCATTTCTAAAAACTGTCATACTAAAAGTGCCATAATAATCTCTGTGTTTCACAGCTAATAATATATTCYAGAATGCAATTAGAGATAATTATTTTTAGAAATGGTCTTAAAGCCTAAATTGGCATTTGGAATGAATCCAGACTAATTTTATCTTTGGTAAGTGACCTTTTCATGCCAAGTGCAAGTCAAGACTCATTRTTTGACATTTAAAAAATCTTTCTTTTGCAATTAACCCTATTTATTCTGTTTTCCACTTTCGTTGAGGAGGCTTCAAATAAGCTGCTTAGATACAGTAACTGATAATTAACAGTATACATTTTAGAGGTTCATTGGTTGTTTGTGTTTTTATTACAATCTGAAATGGAAAAAGACCTGTTATGAATTGAATATTAAGATATATTCTATCTYTCTCAAGCAATCATTTTTACATTAGGGAGTGATGGGATTCAACAACAAATTGAGTGTGGATGAGGTCAGTTTTCTATGATGCTCTCTGTATGGGCAAGGTCAGTTTTCTGTTGCAGGGAGACAACTGTGCAAGGTTACTAAGTTTAAACATTTCTCTTTTTTTAATGTCCCTTAGAAATCTGTAGTTTGGAGTTTGGTAGAAGTCCAGTCAGCTTCACAGCTATGGGTTTTTGCAGAATGTAATATGCTAATTAGTTTTGGGGTTTTTTTCTAGGTGCAGAAATTAAAGAGAAAAACTCAGAAATTGAAGCAAGGGGCAAGTCTTGTCACACTTAAGTCTGATAAGCAAAAGGAAGCAAAGGAGATTGCAGTCACTGTAAAGGAAAGTGTGTCCAAACCTTGTCCTGGTCAACAAAGCAGAAGCTCTCTTCAGCTGCTAAAAGCTGTGAGGAAACTTCAGTCATCTCTGAAAAAAGATGTCATCTGAGAAGAATAGTTCTGAAGWTTGCTATGTTGGAAGTTTTTTAAATTGTCTGACATCTAGTAAATTCTTAGTTGTACAAAATAGCTTTTAAAAACAAACTGGATACAGTATAGATGTACATTSTAAACTGCCTACTCTCTAGTAGGTCAGTTTGTTCACCTTAGAATTAACTTTGATGTAGTGTAGCTATAGCTTGACTACATTTCCTTATAATAAAGTGTTTTAATTGACTAATGAAATATTATAATTTTTAATTTGTCAAATAAAATTTTATACTTTTTTTTACACTTAAAATAGTATGTGATCTTTGGTGTCCTATTTCCCTTGCTGCCAAGGAGATATTTAGAACTTGCTTTTCCATAATGACTAGTGCTTCTGTACAAGTAAAAACAATGGCTTTTCTTTAAGAACTGAAGATTCAGATGACTCTGAATGAGGCAGAAGAGGTATTGTGTCTTTATTTATATCTGTTTTCATTAGTATTAGTATTATTACTTTACAAGCTCTATTGATAGTGTTAGGGACAATTGGGGTTTGGAAGCACAACCCATTACTTGGTTGAACCACAATAACATGGGAGTGTTCTTGATAAGTGCATGGAAGGGGCTGCTGCCAAACTCTTTGAGWGCTTTTCTTCTCATTAACAGAAACTGCTTCTAGCACAGCATGTAGTGACTGAGCTGTCGCAGAGGAGGCCTTGAGCTGTGCACCAGTACCTGTTACCATCYTTCTTATTTCTGGATTATTTCTGACTCAGAAAAAGCACATTGTATGCTTAAAGATGCTTAGACAAAATTCAAAGCATGGTRTTTTTCCATGATGCAGATAGATTTTCTGAGACAGATTTATGCATTTCTGGACACTGGAATCACTGATGCTRGTAGGCATACAGGACACTAATCTGTCTGTCTCCCTCTTGGCCTAGTATTTTTGTTGACTACAGAATTCTGGGGAGACAGGGTTATTTTGGAGCTAGAGTAGGAGAGTCCTGGCTCTCCTTTTGGACAGGTGCTGTGGGGACGGGCTGCAATTTTGGGTCTGTCAACCAGGCGCTGGATGGGGCAGTGTTTAAGCAAYGGCAGCATTGAATGGTCAGTCTTCAAAATACATGTGCTGACAGAGGCTGTCCAGTCCCAGACAAAAACTTGTGTTTGCCCTYCTGTGGGGTGAGGGGCTGGAGGAAAAGGGAAACATTTGAACGTGGTCCTGCTGGCAGCAGGGTGTTTCTCATCTCTGCCTKCTTCGGGCCAGGAACTGAAAAAGCTGTCTCACTCAAAGCCAGGAGCTGGGATTTGAGAGGGAAAATAGGAATGGATGATATGTGASTTTACATTGGCTGACTAGGTACATYGCTTTTATTTCAACTCAAAAGATTTTAATAGTTCTCCTTTTTTCTGCTTTTTCTTTCTGAAGCTTTTATTCCTGTATTACGTGTGTTTTCACACAGCAAAGCAAAGATGATGYGTTTCAGCACTGGCTGAGTGACTCAAACCAGATACAAAGAAAGTGTATCCCAAATCAGTTTTCTTGCTTGAAGAAAGGCACAAAATTTGTTTTCAGATTGTGTCTTGGGAGGGACAGGTAGGGTAGGAGGTCAGCTTATGTATTTATTATTAGCATATTCACAGTTCAAGGCAATTGTCAGTCATGTAAAATAAGTCTTCAGAGAAATATCCATCAGTGAATAATTCTCTGGAAGCTGCATTGGGAAGGTAAGCTTGTGCACCACTGGGGCAAACTTCAACTCCACGGGAATTCGACAGATCACAGTGGATTTTGCTGGTATCCAAATGCTTCATGTCTCTATGTTCCAAAAATGTTCTGGCCTGGAACTCCATAAATGTACATTTGGAGAAAGCACAGTGGTCAAAGCAGGCTTCTTCATAAGAACAAWATGTTTTTGGCTTCATAAGTGCTTACTCTATTCTTTTACAAATCCTTGTTTTGATTTATATCCTGCATGATTTGTTTGTCTTCTCAGATGAAACTGTGTATTTCTTTGTTTATTAATGGTTTGGATCTATCTCTGCAGAGCAGAAGACAAAAACACACAGTGACCCC